CACATTCAATATATGTTTGATTATTTATTTAATCAAAACAGTCGATATACCTATATCAAGTATCAACTTATTACATATGCACCTTTCACTTTCAGCGTTTACATTTAGAAAAACAATGTACACAACGCACTGATTATGATTAATCAAATTTGCTACCGATTGCTTAAGATTCGCGTTGGATAAATTATTACTAAATGCAATGTGCGTGCGTTGCTTTGACAAAGTCTGAATCACGGAAGTACGATATATCTATACCCACCTATACTACAGTCAAATTTTTCAGCATGATTCTCGTCCAGGAATTGACGGATGGTACTCGTCTAAATTTCTTCGAAGTAGCGCACGCCGCTTTCTTCTCGTAGCACTTGCCCGATGGCAAGTGCTACAAAGTAGCGCGCGCCGGGCCAGACCATTAACAATGGTCAAGTCCAGGAACCGAAGATATGATAAAATAATACGACAAAAATCAACGAATTTCGTCAAATTACGCGACTTACTAATTCGCTCGCCCAAAAATTTCACGTGACTTCGGTTTTTATGGTTTTGCAGCCGTACAAAACGGTTTTACATAAACCCTAATCCCAACCCTAACCCTAACCATAACCCCGAAGCTATCCATAGCCCTTACCACAACCCTAACCCTAACCCGAGCCCTAAACAATCGAATTCATGTTTTACTAGCCTGTCACGTGACCAAAACGGTTTTTTGCCCATAACTCTCCAGGGAAGCATTTTTTACCCTACGTCATGGGGGGTGATTCGGAATCAGCGTTCAAAAATACACCGATTGAGATCAATTTCATACCAAAAGGGCCTTTTCACAAGAATTTTCTTAAAATTTGGGCGAGCGATTTAGTAGAAGCGGACGTTTACACCTAATTTTGCTCCAAAAGCCGCGCACCATCAAATATGGCACTTAGGCGAAACTCACTGATCATTCCAAAAATGTATGAAAAATTTGGTACTGTGAAAATTCTCACAGTGCAGTTTTTAGAAAACAATGCTACACAAATTTTGAAAATCCAAACAAGTTTATTTTCATCGTGCACCCCCTCGCTCCTACTAAATGAAAATCGCTCGCCCAAATTTTAAGAAAATTCTTGTGAAAGGCCCTTTGGGCATGAAAGTGATTTGGAATCGGTTTATTTTGGACGCTGATTCCGAATCACCCCCATGACGTAGGGTTAAAATGCTTCCCTGGAGAGTTATGGGCAAAAAACCGTTTGGTCACGTGACAGGCTAGTAAAATACGAATTCGATTGTTTAGGGCTCGTGTTAACGGGTAATACTCGTAAAATATCTGTTTCATATATTGGACCGCCGACGAGTCCAACTCGGCGCGCGTCCTGGTAGGTTGTAAACCTACAAGGCTCGTGTTAGGGTTAGTATAGGGTTGTGGTAAGGGTTATGGTTAGCTTCGGGGTTATGGTTAGGGTTTGGGTTGGGATAAGGGTTTATGTAAAACCGTTTTGTACGGCTGCAAAACCATAAAAACCAAAGTCACGTGAAATTTTTTGGGCGAGCGAATTAGTAAGAGCCGCACCCCCTACCCTAAGCATGAATCAATCAAATATTTTAGGGGTCGTTCACAATTATTACGTAATCAGCTGAGGGGGCCGTTTCCAAATGATTATTGATTACGCTAGTGTAATTTTGTCACAATAGCTATGTTGTATGTGCAAAACTGCCTGATTACGGAGGGGGGATAAAAATGTTCCAAAAATGATTACGTAATATGTGAACGACCCCTTATTCATATTGGGAAATTGAATCATTGCCATGGTATTGCCATGGTATGGTGTCCATATTGCATATAGCCAAAAGTTTTGAATTTTTACAATTGGTCTGTACAATATAATAATCAAACTGACATATTGATATTGTTTTTTACAAGCCTTTGGCTTGACATGTGACAGTTTAAAATTCAAATACAAAATAGTTATTAGTTCGGAGGCGAAATGCGTACTGCTTAAAGTTTAAATTGTCTGTTCCCAACAGCATTCAAAACTTTACATTCATATCACAAGTGCAGACTGCTTTACTTTTCAATCACAAGTGCAGACTGCTTTACTTTTTATTTGAAACAAACTTGAAACTATTTCTGAGCAGGATAATCACACTTCTGACGAGATGGCCATGGCCACCACGTGTCATGTACACAATTTATTTAGACTGCGTCGTTCTTCGGTGATATCTATACCCGAGCAGATGCCTCGACACAGGACAAATAGTCAGATATACAGTCATCAGGACGCCAATATTTGGATCGAGCCAAGGCAGTCAAAGCAACTACAACTGGGAAAAGCTATCCATGCAAGAGACAGAATCCTGAGGGAATCGGTCCTTGAACTTCTGAAACAGGATGACTTTGGTCGTCATGGTAACTGTATCCTATCTCTACTTTTAGGGGTCGTTCACATATTACGTAAATGTAATCAGCTGAGGGGGGATTTGCGGATGATTACTGATTACGCTAGTGTAATTTGACACAATATCTATGTGTAAAACTGATTACGGGGGGGGGGTAAAAATGTTCCAAAAAATGATTACGTAATATGTGAACGACCCCTTAGTTTACGAATTAACGTGTTCGGAGTGGATTGCAATGCTCCCGAATTATAGTTTTATTTATACAAAGTTCGAAATATTCCCTTAACTTTAGATTAAATCTAAATAATTGTTCAATTATTTTTCGGAAATTAGACTCCCAATTAATTTTGATATTTATAACAAAAAGGCCACATAAAATTTTTTTAATATGATAGAGACTTTGTAACATTTAAGCACGTCATAAATTTTATAGCTTATACTCATTACTCATCGATGAAACAACTCAAGTAATTCCTTGAACTTTATCGAAAGGTGTATACTGTATAGGTTCCTGACCTAAGTCAATTAAACGCCACATACAACAACTTAACACGTTGGAAGCAGTTTAACGTGGTAATGTCTACAAAGTATCATACCACGTGACCGATCCTCCAGCGTACGAGACCCTGACCAGCCCTAGCCTCTGCGAGTGGTCAGCCAATTATAGTCCATGCAGTATCGGTATCTTGCAGATAATTGCAACATGTAATGGGCAACATATCAATATCATGATTAGAAGTTTGCTTTTAATAGTCGTTTAAGTTTAACTTACGGTGAAATAGTCCATCACTGAGTCTGAAGTTAGATAAAGAGTTCTCCAATTATCAATATTATTCGATAGCCTCCCAAAATCAGTGGAACTCTCCCGGTCCTTGTAGTTGTAGCAGTTTGGTATTTGCTGTTCATTGAAACACCGAGACAGACTGAAACGCAGAAGTTTTCTATAAAAAACAAGAAAGTCTGATACTCTGATCTATTAGTATCTTTGATCCTGTCCTTAAAGTTAAATGATTGCTGCGTGGGTCGAGATAGGAAGGCGGTTTTTAATCGCACCGTGGCCTCATATCAGGCCGAAAAGCGAAGGTCAGTAACCTCGGTCCTCAGTTAGTTCTTAGTATATTGATACTGTACTAATATTATAATTGGTATAGAAAGATAGTCAATAGTATTTTTGTAATACTAGCTCTTGTAATTGTATTGCATTGGCAATGATATACCGCTTTATCGTACCCTAATTTACCTTATATTTTTCCTTTCCCCAAAAGTTTTTGTAGTGTTTATTAGAGAGCATCGCGGTTTTTTGACAGATCAAATGAAACAAGGCAAATGACTGGCGAAAACTAAATCTTAAATATAATAATCGACCTTTCGGCATTCATTGGTCTTTTATTAAGATCATTACCTGGGGATCTCATGCTCCAGAGGTCATAAACACGATACAAATAAAGATATTGGATATGGTGGAATGACAGGCCGAGTACCGCCCGGTAATATGCAGATTACTGATTATATATATATATGTTGGTATTAAGTTTAGGGCCGTCGAATCCACGAGTTAGCGTGATTGCCATTCATCAAACTGCACTACACGGGTTAGCACTTAGCATGGTTAGTGCAATAGTACAGCCGGATCCGGCTTCCGATTACCACATTCTAATGAGTGCCCAGCATGTGATAGATGGACCACGTGCATGTGACAGGCTGACAGAGAATGGAGTACGATTCCTCCCGCTCAAAACAGAGGCTTCGGCTTGTGAAGTGGACCCTTGGTTGAAGTTCACAGCCATGGTACGGTACGGCGCTACGTCAAGCCGGATTCTGACAGTTACCTATAGCTATGGGTAACGCCAGGACATCCATGCAGAATATTGCAGCCACCCGAGGTTTGGTGCCACTCAAACAGTCATGCCTATACTGTATGGAGATAAGTGGGGCCTTGTAAACTTACTCTTAGAAGATAGTCAGTAGGCTGACTATCTACCACTACTATCTACCACTACTAGGGTGATCTACAGCTTACACTTGAATGCAGAGATAAGGACAAGGGATACAAATCAACCACATCGCCCTGTCTCTGTCTGTGTCTAGACATACACAGACAGACAGACTGATTATAAATTACAAGGGTCTCACTGACGTAGTGCATAGGCGAGCCCAATTATATATAACTTAAGTCCTAAAACAATTAATTAAGGTGGACCCCAACTTGGCTAAACAGTAAACATACACGGTAGTGTATTATGCTGCTATACAGTAATATGCAGTAATCTTTGTAAAATGCCAACGAGTGCCGAAACCACGATTATTTCATTTAGTTTTCACCAGTCATTTACTTTGCTTCCCGTTGTCTGTCGAGAGCAGTGTTGCTTCCTACTGAACACTAAAATGTTAATAAGTCACGTTCGGCCTTGCCACTTACAAGATATTCCAAAAGTTTTGAAAAATGTCTATATTTTAGCTTGATAAAATGTAATCCTTTACGGCTTATAAACGGAACCGTGTCAAGCAGATTTTTTAAAAAATAATCCATCGTAGTCTTTTGGAATTAGCTTTCTAGGAAAAGTTACTTATTCATTCCATTATTAATATTTACTATAATTTACCATTATTTTTCTAATATCGTCAGACAAACCGCGTAAATCTTACACAATAATGTCCCGTGTTGTGTATAATGGTAAGTTTAATACTTCTGTGTGCTGACTAAATAGTTGCACCTTAACACTCAGTACATACTACATACTACATAGTACATACTACATGGTACAGAGTACATACTACATAATATATAATACATTCCTTTGTTCATCAACAGATGAGCGTACAGCCATGCCATGATCAGAATATGAACGAGAATGAAATCTAATGTGTCGAACTGATAAATTCTTTAAACATGAACAAACTTAATTCAAGTCCTGAATATAACCCTGAATATTTTGCAGACTGCCCGGGGAGTCCGAGCAACCAGCCGAAGCACATGCAATCTGGGTCACCTGGAGACGCTACAGCTGCTGGAGGACCGCACACCGGACAGAAGATACTGATCAACGTGTCCGGCAAGAAGTTTCAGATTTACAGAGACTACTTGGAGAGGTGAATATCCCAACCTGCTGTCTTGCTCAATTAAAATACTGATCAAATTCTAAGATGATCCCTAGGAAAATTTTACAGGTACATATTCTTATCTAGCAGTAAACATATCCAAGGTACCATCAATATTTTAGATGGATCTACTGAAAATTGCAAATTCACAGACGTCCCCATCCTAGGTACCCCCAAACTCTGCTCGGATCAGCCGACCTGGACACACACTGGGACCCCCATCACGGCGACTACTTCTTTGACAGCAATCCTGAGGCCTTCGAGAGTATATTTGACTTTTACCTCTACGGCAAGCTCTATCAGCCAGCTACTATCCCAAATGAGATGTTCCAGGTACTTTAAAACATACACGTGGTATCATGATATTAATCACTGAAATTCCCACATTATCAACATGGGAGTAAGACATGTTAATTAGCAACAATAGAATGTCCTGATCAATTAACCCCACCGGCCACCAAAGCCATTTTAAGCAAATGTACATTGTATAATGTACACTCTCCTGGTTCGAGTACACTTTTAGTGTACACATCTAATAGGAGAAGGTTGTGTGTGTGACCATTATCACATGTTTCTTCAGGAACAGTTTTCCTGTTTAATATTAACTAAAGGATCGTTCGCATATTACGTACAGGGTAGAACTAGAAGGGGTTTGGAAAAGCTTTCTACACAATAGCCATCTGCTATGTAAAGTGGCTTACAGATGGGCCTACGTATTATTTGAACAATCTCTAAATCCTGTGAATTTCCAGGAGTCGGTGACCTTCTTCAGGATGATGTCGGTGTTCGAAGAAGAGAAAGCACAGGAAGAGGAGGAAAAGATTCCGGTGGAAGCCAAGACAAAGATGGGACGACTCAGACAGAAAACCAACAACATCCTGCAGAACCCCAGTTCAAGCTTCTTCGGGCTGCTCTACGGATGGATGGACCTGGGATGTATCTGCCTCTCCATTATCCTCATGCTCTTCGAAACTGATCCTAACATAGTGGTCATTTTAGAGGACAAAAATTCCACCACTGCCAAGGTCTGTTTCGCTGTGGAATCAGTGACAGTTGTCTACTTCACATTTGATGTCCTGCTCAGATTTGTGGTAACCTACGATAAGTTGAGTTTTTCCAAAGCTCCAGCAACTTGGCTGGACATCTTCACTGTGGGGCCCTACTATTTAGAACTGTTTATAGATGTCACTAAGTTCAAGTCACTCAAAGTTTTGAGAATAGCAAGGATCGCTAGAGTTTTGAAACTGATTAAGAAAAACAAGAGATTACTGCTAATAGCGACGGTGCTCGCCCAGAGTGTGAGCGAGTTAAGCATGTTAATAATCGTGTGGAGCATGTGCATTCTTGTGGCGGGCTGCAGTTTTTACTACCTAGAAGAAACGTCCAACGACACAGTGAAATCAGGTTGGTAAATTTGAGTTTATAGTTGAGGATCATCCCTAAATATTAAAGAAATCCCTAATCGTGAACCGTATCCTGGGCCCCGGATTTGACTAATAACTATTGCTCAGTATAACAGTGTAGAAATGTTGCAACTAGGTAGATGGTCATGAACATATTAACATTCTGAACATCAAAATAGATGGGTAATTTTTTTCAGGAGTTGATGGCTTGTGGTGGGCGGTAGTGACGATGAGTACAGTGGGTTACGGAGACATAGCACCCGTAAGTAGATGATGTACAATAATATATGAACAATGATAATTACATATTATAACACTTAATCATCATCGTAAATAGCAGATATTCACAGTTAAAAGGTTTGATGACTCATCTTGCATGCTCGGTAGCTCTTAACTCTCATACTGTTTTGCAGCAATCAACGCCAGGCAAGTTGTTCGGGACAGTGTTCGTGTACGTCAGCATGGTCTTCTTAGCTCTCCCTCTGACCATTATAGTGGGTGCCTTCAGTAAGCAGTACGAGTCGAGGAAATGCATGTCGCTGAAGAAGAACCAATCCGCATACCAACTTGCTAACACAAAGGCATCTGACGACTGAATAATCCCATTGGGGGATTGCCAATCAAGGCTCTGCTGTTTCATATAATGAGAATTGTCTTTGTTCGAAGGGACGACTTTTAATGAACCTGTGGCACGAAGCAATCCAAGTGATGAATTTTAACGCTTAATATATTACGTGAAGAGAATTTTTTATTTCCATCTTTGTTTTATGCTGTGTGGCTACAAAGGTGGCTTAATTGTAAAAAAAGACAGGATGACTAAATATTTGTCTCAAATTTCACTGGGTTCAATTTGTATCTGTTATTATTTACAAACAAGATAGTCTGTCATAAAATAAACTGTTGTTTTTCTCGTAATATAAGAGGAGCTACGTGGCATATAAATATTGAAATATTCAGTTTAAACATGGCCATAGAATCGAACAGTTCAAGTACACAACCAACAACCATTCGCATTCAGAAACGTTAACTCTGCTGATTAATTAAATTGGAATTGGGAAAGTATGTTTTGTAAAAAAGTCAACTTTGTGAAACTCTTAAGATTAAAGGACCCGAAAATGCGATCCCGGATAAAAATGTGACATTTGTTAACTTCAGCGAGTTTCCTCGTTCCGCCTAGCATCAAGTTGGCGCAGTTTCAGATAAAATAGTCATAACAATTACAATTAGCGGCGATTTCTTCAGTCCATGGCAAGGCAAGAAGAACTTTGTATGTAGTAAGGGAAGGCTGGTCTGGAAGCTTAAGCTTTAGCGCTTTTGTAATCGTCCAATTGTTTGTCCAGTTCTTCGGCAGTCATGGTTTTCTTCTGCTCTCTGCCGCCTCCTCGGCCACCACCACCACGACCACGACCTCCTCTCCTTTCCCCACCTCTGCCCCTACCGCCAGATCCTCCTCTGGACCTGCAGAACAAGTATCAGAATACTGAGGTGTTATTTGAGAGAATTTAAAAAGCTAAAAAATTGTGAAACAATCTGATCGTAGACATGTTTTAAAATCCAGGTGTCTATGTATTCAGAGTATGGCATATTGACTTATATTTCAATTTTTTGCTGAATGATACAGACTTTGACAGAACAAAGTCGCGGCAATCTATGCCATTCAAAATTGTTTGCTTTTCAAATGCGCGGCGACTCATAATTTCAATACAAACGAACGTGCTAAACTAGCAATAGCCTTGAAATCAATAAGGCAAATCAATCTGTGGTCAAGTTTCGTTTTTGAAAGTGTTAACTTCATCTTTGTGGTGTTCAGTTAAAGGAATCACAAAGATGCAATTACCTATTATTACTATTTCTGTTTCCCCCATTGTTTCTGTTACCACCACCGCCGCCACCACCGGTCGATAAAGGTTCATCAGTAACCAACTCTATGATCATGGGTTTACCGTCGAGGGGAACATTATTATAGGTCTTCAGGGCCCGGGCGGCGTCTGATTTGTTGATATAAGTTACATCTGCTGTTCCAAGGGAACGTCCTGATCTATCGTAGTGTACGGAATACGCTCTGATAGCTCCGAATTCAGCAAACAACTCCTGAAATATTTGATGACGAATAAAATAACAACCTATAATGTTGTAAAATAGTTTGCTACAGCCTATAGGCAATCTTTTATATTTGAGGGTAAGTTATAAGGCAGCATATGATCAATCTTTCAAGCAATCCCCCACATTCGAGCAAAAGTCAAATCCAGACTGTACGGGCTTCTCCCCAGGTAAAGTACCCCCAAAATACTGGGACCAGAATACCGAGCTGATCCTACGTGTCCCAGGTAAAGTACCCCCAAAATACTGGGACCAGAATACCGAGCTGATCCTACGTGTCCAAGGTAAAGTACCCCCAAAATACTGGGACCAGAATACCGAGCTGATCCTACGTGTCCAAGGTAAAGTACCCCCAAAATACTGGGACCAGAATACCTAGCTGATCCTACGTGTCCAAGGTAAAGTACCTCCAAAATACGGGTAGCAGAATACCGAGCTGATCCTACGTGTCCAAGGTAAAGTACCTCCAAAATACTGGGACCAGAATACCTAGCTGATCCTACGTGTCCCAGGTAAAGTACCCCCAAAATACTGGGACCAGAATACCGAGCTGATCCTACGTGTCCCAGGTAAAGTACCCCCAAAATACTGTGACCAGAATACCGAGCTGATTCTACGTGTCCCAGGTAAAGTACCCCCAAAATAAGGGGACCAGAATACCGAGCTGATCCTACGTGTCCCAGGTAAAGTACCCCCAAAATACTGGGACCAGAATACCGAGCTGATCCTACGTGTCCCAGATAAAGTACCTCCAAAATACTGGGACCAGAATACCGAGCTGATCCTACGTGTCCAAGGTAAAGTACCTCCAAAATACAGGGACCAGAATACCGAGCTGATTCTACGTGTCCCAGGTAAAGTACCCCCAAAATAAGGGGACGAGAATACCGAGCTGATCCTACGTGTCCCAGGTAAAGTACCCCCAAAATACTGGGACCAGAATACCGAGCTGATCCTACGTGTCCCAGGTAAAGTACCTCCAAAATACTGGGACCAGAATACCGAGCTGATCCTACGTGTCCCAGGTAAAGTAACCCCAAAATACTGGGACCAGAATACCGAGCTGATCCTACGTGTCCCAGGTAAAGTACCCCCAAAATACTGGGACCAGAATACCGAGCTGATCCTAAGTGTTCCAGGTAAAGTACCTCCAAAATACTGGGACCAGAATACCGAGCTGATCCTACGTGTCCCAGGTAAAGTACCCCCAAAATACTGGGACCAGAATACCGAGCTGATCCTACGTGTCCCAGGTAAAGTACCCCCAAAATACGGGGACCAGAATACCGATCTGATCATACGTGTCCCAGATAAAGTACCCCCAAAATACGGGGACCAGAATACCGATCTGATCCTACGTGTCCCAGGTAAAGTACCCCCAAAATACTGGGACCAGAATACCGAGCTGATCCTACGTGTCCCAGGTTAAGTACCCCCAAAATACTGGGACCAGAATACCGAGCTGATCCTACGTGTCCCAGGTAAAGTACCCCCAAAATACGGGGACCAGAATACCGATCTGATCATACGTGTCCCAGATAAAGTACCCCCAAAATACGGGGACCAGAATACCGAGCTGATCCTACGTGTCCCAGGTAAAGTACCCCCAAAATACGGGGACCAGAATACCGAGCTGATCCTACGTGTCCCAGGTAAAGTAACCCCAAAATACTGGGACCAGAATACCGAGCTGATCCTACGTGTCCCAGGTAAAGTACCCCCAAAATACTGGGACCAGAATACCAAGCTGATCCTACGTGTCCCAGGTAAAGTACCCCCAAAATACTGGGACCAGAATACCGAGCTGATCCTACGTGTCCCAGGTAAAGTACCCCCAAAATACTGGGACCAGAATACTGAGCTGATCCTACGTGTCCCAGGTAAAGTACCCCCAAAATACTGGGACCAGAATACCGAGCTGATCCTACGTGTCCCAGGTAAAGTACCCCCAAAATACTGGGACCGGAATACCGAGCTGATCCTAAGTGTCCCAGGTAAAGTACCCCCAAAATACTGGGACCAGAATACCGAGCTGATCCTACGTGTCCCAGGTAAAGTACCCCCAAAATACTGGGACCAGTATACCGAGCTGATCCTACGTGTCCCAGGTAAAGTACTTCCTAAATACTGGGACCAGAATACCGAGCTGATCCTACGTGTCCCAGGTAAAGTACCCCCAAAATACTGGGACCAGTATACCGAGCTGATCCTACGTGTCCCAGGTAAAGTACCCCCAAAATACTGGGACCAGAATACCGAGCTGATCCTACGTGTCCCAGGTTAAGTACCCCCAAAATACTGGGACCGGAATACCGAGCTGATCCTAAGTGTCCCAGGTAAAGTACCCCCAAAATACTGGGACCAGAATACCTTTACATAATCCACGTCAGGTTTTTAAATGTAGCTCATGGATGACCTTTCAACTTCACGCACAGTATTTTACGAGGCCTCAAGTTGAGGTTATCTCAACTAGGACTGAATTCCAAATATAACTAACCCTTATGTCCTGGTCGTTGACACTGTACTCCAGATTACTGATAAGAAGTTTAGCGATGCCCGCGCCCCTGCCGCCGCCGCCACCTCCACCACCGCCGAGTGACGATCTGCCGCCCTCGAATTTATCATGTGTCCAGCGACCACTGGGGGTGTCCTGAAAAGATGAAATGAAATTAAGTATTTGTATCCGGGTAATAAAACAAACAAAATAAGAGAGGAAGTCAACTCTGTCAGCAGTCAGGGTGGCAGTAAAAAAAATTGTTTTAATATTAAAACCGTAGAACCTAAATACGCCAATAAATAATTGACGTTGATAATTAAGATAAGTAGCCAGTTTCATTTTAAACTTTTAATCGCTCTACAGACTTTTCCAGAGGAATTGAAGTCGTGTGTCACTCCTTTGTGATACTAGGTCAAGTTTACGTCGAAAACCCGATGCCATAGATTTTTGAACAGATGGCCCATAAATCAATGAAAATGCCCACATTATTATGCAAGCTAAGTACGATGAGTTGACGTATAGTATAGTACAGTAGTAATTAGTAACTGTTAACAAAAGTAAATAAGTAAAAACAAACTCTGCTATAAGGAGTAGCTCTGGAGTTGTTGCGTCTGCCTCTGGAGGAACCACCACGCCCTCTACTGTTCCCTCTTCCTCCCCCGCCGCCTCCTCCACCTGCACCGCCTCCTCCACTACCTCTGCTTTTTCCTCCACCACGTTTAACCTGAGAATAGATACGGTTTTAAATATTGCCAGGCGATAATATAATTTGCAACTGCGATTAACTGAGAATTACGATTCATCACCGCTGCCTGATGATTTGATGTTTAATAAACTGATCTTTCCTCAGGGATAATAAAGATAATTTATAAGTGTAAACTCTAATAATTTTATTTCAACTAACTCCAAAACTTTAAAAACGTATAAAACCACTATGCAGTGGGTAAACGGAAAATGTATATTGCTGGTTTTAGTATTCGGTCAAGCAAAGCCTGTACTGTAACATTAAGTTGCAGAAAGAATTCAAAATAACGGCACCACTCACCATGCTGGGCTTTGCTTTGATGATATCATCAAGGGACATATCCATTTGTTCTTCTGCTGCCATGATGCCTAATTTGGAAAACATTTTAGGAACAATTCTAAAAAATCTCAGATTGAAAATATATTCAGTTTTAAACTATGCCCAAGGTTCTACCGGGACTGCTTTTTTGGACGGGACCGCGATCAGACCAGGACTGGGAAAAAAGTGCCGGGACCGGGATTAAGGCCAGGGCCGGAATTGAGACCGAGATTTTGGCTGACAAACATTTTACCTTAATAGTAAATAGTAATTCGATATAAAAACCAATGAAATATCTCCCAGCCCGTTTTATTTGATGACTCTTAGTATATTGATCTTAGAACGTATAATAACTAATGACTAATGAGGTTAGGTGTATGCTATGTCAGCAACTTGGTTGATGAGTTGGATATATATATTCGGAGGACAAGTTGGAGCTCCAGGGACGTGATCCCCTGGACGTATTTCAGGTGTCAAATAGGTTAAAAAGTCAGATTTTTCTTTTCTGACATTCATACCCCCATATTGCATTGCCTGAGACACTGTAGCTGATTCTGCCAGAACCATTCTCTCTTCTTGTATTCATTTAAACGGCTTTTCGGGTATTCAGCAACTCCAGAAACATCCACTTGTTCTATTATGATAACGTCAAGTTGTTGAACACATCAGTGTGGTTGTTTCATTTTCCATAAAATTACTCAAAACTTCACGGGTACGCCTCTACGTTTTAATATGACTCTTACGGTTCCTAAATCCAACTTCCATTATAGAGTCTGAAGTACACTAATGTTGCATTCTAAATCGTTAAATATGTACACAACACACTATCACAATCTAACTTTTCATTAATAATCGAAAACATAACATGGTTAGTATGGAAACTATATGTAATAATAATTATACATTTTAAAAGTTTAATAACACCATTATTAAACCTAATACACAGTTTTTAATCCAGAGCTCGAGCTAATGAGATGTAATGGTAACATGAAGACGATTGTACAATGTACATCTTAGGAGCCACTACAAAGAAGCTATGCTCACCAAGCTTAGAATTGAAAGATGGGACAATACGTTTCAATAAGTGACCATGATGTACATATCTAAACATGTCTTGAAGATACGTTGGCGGTTGGAGCCAATCCTAGCAAGAACTTTTTGAAAGCAACCCTTTTTTCATACTTTGTATTTTCTGAAATCTTAGTTAAATTAAAATTAACAAGTTGAGAAATACGGATATAGTACCCACTGCTGTCTACTACACACATGTAATATAATGATCACTAAGACCATAGTAACACTAAACAACACTATATAATTGCTCACAACAGTCACCTCCATCCTCAATTTGCTCTTCAAATGAAGCCGCTATCTCATGAGCAAGTCTAATCACATCTCTCTCAAGTGAGTTACTGAACATGACCACAGTGATCCCCCTAGGTTTACCACCAGACATATGTTTACCCAGAGGTAACACTAACACAACTGCTCCGCCATTGTGGGACAGTTTGAAGTACTGAGCAGTTTTACCGTGTGATTCTTGCTCATGGAACACTCTCATTCCGTAGCCATAGTGCAACTTTAACTCAGCTTGAGTCTCAAATTCAGTTACTGGATTGAACTTTATCATTGATTGGAGATACTCCTGATTTACATAGTTATCGGATGACTCAGATTGGTAGAGGTACAGAGGAAAACAAATTTTAGGAAAACAAATTTAAATTTTGGTATTTATTAATAACAATCAAAACATATCATATCATAAAAATAAAGCCGCGCGTTGGTTGACTGCCTCAGTAAGGTGAATAATTTAAGCTTGAAGGTGCCCTGCGCATTTACAGAACCTTATGCGGCGATCACATATTCATGAAGGCCTGTGAGCGCCAAATTTAATTTAAAGTTTCTAGAAATCATACATCACTACGAGTTACTCATGCTTTTGGATTATAAGAGTGCGGATTGTCAGGTATTTCATTCATTCATACTTAATCGGTTTAAAGCTGTATATTTAGAACTCACTATTGTTTAAACTACGAAAACAGAACGTAGATAATGGACAATATACCGACGACAATACCAAGGACCCGAGTGCCGCATTGACTTTTCCGGATCCAGAAGAATGTCACCCAGATTAGCAATGTCCTGCGCAGTGCTGACTATTCCTCCGCCAGCCCATCTACAGGAGTCATCAACATAAGGGCAGTTTTTGAGCTTCCCATTATCGCCCTTACAGTAGTATTGACACCGATTCAAGATTATTTCTTCAAAGGAATCAAGACGTGTGTGGGGTAATCCTAGTTTAGATGTAAAGTCAGACAACAGTTGCTCAAACGATTTGCCTGAAGATTTTTCTAGGATATTACTCAGTAAACTGTAGCCAAATGTAGTATAATTGTACTCCGAACCAGGTTTAAACAATAATTTATCATTGATGAACATTTGGAGACCATCTTTAACGGTGGGATAATTCCTACTAGAGAATACCTCGTGTGACCCTTCGTCTGTTACACCAGCAGTGTGACTCAGTAATTGCTTGAAAGTCATACAATCTACTTCTTGATCTCCCATTGCCAGTTGAATTTCATTTGATTTTAAAAATTCAACTAAATTCTCGTTGAGATCTACATTACCTTTTTGAGCAAGATTTACAGTCATCAAAGCAGTGATGAGCTTACTGATGCTGGCTATTCTCATGGATGTTTTACAGGTGAATGGGGTACAATTCTCAACGTCCTGGTATGCAAGCTTCAGCCATCTTTTGCATTATCTTGTCCCTTGTGTCCTCAATGACATCATTGAAATTAACAAATTGGTGCTGTGTATCCTCACGATGCAGATGGTGGGATTGAGTTTTTCCAGCAAAAAAACTTCCAGCAACAATGAAAGGACTTAGCCATTTCCTTGTTAGTAACCAGCTCATTTCACAGATCATATGTAGTTTTGTAGATCATGTTACAAATCAGTTTTTTGGGGATTTTTATAAGTTATCCTTATGCTATTAGATGTGCCGTAACAATACAAAATATATTTTATTGTCAAATTTATACTATCAGAATTCAGAAGTTCAATTCTGATTCCAACAAAAAGCAGCATGCAAAAAGCATTTATTAGGAGGGTTGAATTTCTTTGGGGAAAAAATGAATCTCCCCAGTATTTAGCCATCTAGATAGATTAGAAACTGATAAAGACTAAAGTTAAACAGTCTCACGTGATATCATTTAGCTATCAATCAACCTTGGATCACAATTTTGAAATCCTTAATTTGACAACGCTGGCAGAGCGGCGAATACGTGGGGACCTTATTGAAGCTTTTAAGGTTATTAATGCAAATGGTTTGACTGATTATGGTTCAGACTTGTTCAGACCAAGCAGATCAGGTCCTAATCTGGTTTCATCCAATAGATGTAGTAAGAGTGTGACAAAGGTCAAGAATCTTCAGTGTTCTTTTCTTCCAGAGCGGGTTGTTCCTTATTGGAACAAACTCCCTTCGGAGGCCGAGGTGAAGAACTGCTTGACAGTTTTGAGTTTTAAAATTGGATGGAAAGTTTTTAAAAGAATATGATTTCTAAATGTATTGTAAATGACTTTCATTTTTGGAATGTTTCGAATGAAGTTTTAATAAGAATTGAAGGTACCAGTTATATCAGTAATAAGGAAAAACGCAATGATTATCTATGGTTTCGTCCTTATGTAGGAAAGAAACGTTTTATAAATCTTTACTCTACTGGGAAGTATGAATAAATTAAATTATTTAATGTTGTTTTCATTCACGATTAATATTTGATAATTATTACTTTTAAATTTGATAGAGAAATAGTTAGTTTTCCATGTAGTGCGATGATACTTTGTAGACATTAGTGATGATTTTATGTCATAATTTTTACTTTACTTTACTTTACTTTGGGGCAATTCCACGGTAAGGTTCCACTTGGTGAAAATGAAAAATGTTAAGATAGGCACCTAATTTTGGTTAAAATATGTTCATTAGACTCTTAACCTTACAGGTCAACAAAAGTTTTTTGTTTCATATTGCATTAACTTTTGATTTTTCTCATTCAAAGGAACACTACTCGGAAATGAAAAAAATCATTCAAATTTTCAAAGGGCCATAGTTTGGGTATGCAGGAATATTTCTCTATGAAATTCCATACACTTAAGCAAAGGCATAAGAATGAGAGCCATGCAAAGTTTCAAAACCGTTACTCAAATAATTTTTCTAAAAAATTTCCACAAAGATGGTGTCGCGTCCGTCACAAAATTAAGCAAAAAAGTTTTTTCAGAGCCACATAGTGCTATTTATATTCAAAAAACCACTGTAACCTATCTCTTCTGAATCGAAGGTAAGGGAGTACCGTAGAAATTATCAGGCTTGTATCTTTTAAGAAAAAATTTTTGGAAGGGGGGTCCCAACTTGTCGCGTCCGTCACATTTTTCTGAAAATGCTCCAAAAAATCTTTTGACAGACTTTAAATGCATTTTTGTTAAAGCTGAGACCGTTCTTAACAAAACAATGTTGTCAAATCGAAAATTGGACAGAAAATGACTGAGTTATGTATAATTTTGTATATGCCCATATATGGGCGTACGCCGTACGGCTCACTTTTAGCCATTTTTATCCATATTTCCATTATTTTGACTAAAACCAAGACAAATTGAAGTCAAATAAGGTTTAACTATGTTGACTAGACTATCAAATAACATCATATGCAATTCAATAATTAAATTTACTGAGTTTTGCCATTTTATTTGCCTTAACCTTTTTCAGGGGTAAAAGGCACAAAAAATGGACTTTACCCTATTTTCGCATATTTTTGAAGTAAAAATTCAATATCTTCCACATTTTAAACACTAAAGTAATGAAACTTTTGGGAGATGGTCTCAACAGTGTGATGTGTTGAACAGAGATGAATGTTTTACCAGAGTTATAAATTTGTTCAAGTAGAGAAATAATTGCTGCCCCTAGATTGATACCCTCGCGTATGCCCAAAATGGACGATTTTGGCTATTGCAGACCTCGTGGAAGTACTAGCGGCCTAAAAATTGGCATAAACATAGAATGAAGGTCACTGAACAAAATAAAAGTGTCAAATAGAAGATTTGGAGAAATTGAAAAAAAACGTGTGTCCGTCACAGTCACGTCCGTCACAATTTGAAAATGGCGCCACGCAAACAAAAACTGAGCAATCTCCAAAAAAATGGTATCTCAGAAATCCCTAAACCTTTTTCAATCACTGCATGTCCAAATTAGAGATAATAGATAACGTTTTGAGATAGATTTGGGTACCTTCTGAGTAGACACCCAAAAAAAGTGTCATATTTAAGTCGCGTCCGTCACAGGGGTGCTATCTCAGAAAGTAATAATGGTAGGGGTCTGAAATTTTCACACAACCTATAGAAAGGTTAAATGTGGACTAATAAATAGTTTAAGCTGATAAAGAAGCAACATCCTGAGCACAACATTCGTTTGAACTTTTAAAAATGGCATAATCGTGGTGTCCGTCACGGTGGAATTGCCCTTTGATATCTCAGGGAAATGATACCACCTTAAGGATCTTGGACCCCAAAATCCACCACTTTTCTGTATTTTTAGAGGTACCAATGTGGCAAGAAACTAAATCCTTCTCAGCTCTTAGCGGCCCAGTATAAAGGTATATGGTGATAGGTGATAGGCAATATGAAATTACACATCTTACTTTAACTTTATCCCGTCACCCATGGACTTATTAATTAACGGCTGGTGGTGGTGTCATCGTTCGTCGTACTCAGAGCGTTTCGCGGCTGCGAATGCCGGCCCATCGAGGAAAATCTTTTTACTTTGTATTATAAAGTATGATTAGTCGGATATAGTACTGAGTTCAAACAGTCCCCGAAACGAAAAAGCAAACATTTGATTTTTGTTTCGGCGACTGAATCGTTGATGGGCCGGCAAATATTTGTTGTCTTGTTTGTTTTGAAACCCCACGGTGGAGGTTGGCGTGTGCCGCAATTTATTAATCAATGGTTATTACTTAAATGAAATTATAGAAGTCACACTAAAATATAATAATGTAAAATAAAATATATTAAAATAATTAATAAATGCCCTACTAAAAGTACTATATAACTAACGGTCTGCAAAACTGGTTGAAGTCGCAATTTGTAAACATGCTAATTACTATTTAATAATAATAGATAAAAAGTTTTGCGCGGCAGATGTAAATTCGGCATTGCATAATGGCAGTGAAATTAAAATGATATGTTGTTGATAAAAGATCATGGTCATTTGTCGCGAGTGATCTTTCTTTACGCGTTGTCGCTTACTAACTCGGTGTTGTAGTCTATCTGCGAGCGCCCTTCTCTTTGAGACTTTCTTAGCCCAGGTATACTATAAAGTAAGAAATTTGGCCAATTTTCATCGTCTCCTGAGCTTTGCAGCTTGAGGAGTTCGCGCTTAGCTGAATTTTTAAAGATTTCAATTGAAAAGGTAGAACTTGGAATAGTTATATCCTTACTTTGTTTTGTAATAGAGAGCATGGGTCCTTTGAAGAAAAGAGTATTTCTAAATGTTGGGCCGTTGTAAGTTGTGAACCAAGAAAGGTTATGTTCGTATGTGGAATTATAGGTGGGAATATCGTGAGGGAAAAGTTCTTTGATGGATTTAGGGAGAAGGCTTGGCATGTTCCTTACTTTGTGTAGTAGAATAAGAGCGTTTTTTACAATGACGCTATGGACTGTTAGGATATTATGTTTATTGCTCTGATATATGCAATGAAATCACGATGGTTGTTATCAATCTATCTGAAAACGTATATAATTTGTAATGCAATACATTATAGAATAAATGCAATTAGAAATATCAATAACAGTTCCTATCTTACTAGAAAGATTAACTGAAAACTATACTAGGAAAAGCTAAGCACAGTTACAAAGTGTAACACTCTACTCACCACAGTAGAGTTCAGGGTGATCTTGCTAAAGGGGAAAGATTGGTTAGAACAATCTCCACCCTATCTAAGTCTAAAATATAAAAGTTAAAACCCCAGAGGTATGGAACTACTAACTGTGATAGATAAATCAATTCAAAAGTCTAAAACAACAACAACATCGATTCAAAAGTATAAAAGGCTTGTTAAAAAAAACAACTTAGAAGGATAAGCTAAATATTGAATAAATTAATAATTTAACAATGTCCATTAAACTGTTATAAAATTTTGTTCATTACAATGTTAAAAGGCATTCTGAAGTATGGTGAGTTCTCAAGTCTCAAGAGCCTACTCCGTTGGGTCCAGGTCAGTTTGTAGTAAACTGCAAACCTTTAATATCTGTAGCCTAATTTCTCAATCCTCAGTCCTCACAAAGGATGCTTTCATCCTTAATCCTATACTTCTCTCTAAACAGACTGCCCAGACAAAAATATAGAGAAACACTCAAGATAGGTAGAACTTAACACATTCAGAAATACCAGTCTAGTTGTAGTATGTGCTTGGCACTGTTCTCAGGACAAAAACTTCTTCAGACATCATCTCGGCAAACTTGATACTCTCTTCATTTCCATTGGGTTCAGCTATGGGAGGAGGTTCAGGAGGGTCTTTCTCAAGTAGCCAGTCTACTTTGTCTAAATTGACCCCGGAAAAACTTCCGTCTTCTGAAATGACATTCCAGTAGTTCTTGTTCATGCTGTTGACAGTGTATCCTCTAGACTTAAGCTGAACTTT